CTTTGACATCTTCGAAGTACCAGTTTTCTCTACGTAACTACTGTATTTTAAGTGTTGTGCTTGAGATCATTTTATTTACAGTATACAAAAAATTTTTATCAGTATATTGTGTGTGGCAAGAATTTGTATTGTTATATGGAGCTCTAATTAGTCGTTGATACACTAAAGCGAATGTTTTGCAACGGTGTTTGGCAGTTTATCAGAATTCTTGTTAGCTAACTCCATGGCAATTTGTTTGCTAATACTGTTCCCTTGGTCAGGTTTACTCCATCAATATTCCAGCAAACTCGGTTGCAGTCTCTATCTTTTGAAGCAGGACTGCCCACAAAATTTGCTTCTGCTCGAAGCAGTAGATATTTCTTGATTGGAACTGGTTCCATGAAAATGTTTTTTTTCTTTGAGATTTAGATAAGGTTAAAGTAGTTTTTGATTTTTTCTGCTACACTTAACCCTCTTTTACAGTACTTTGAACTAATCTGAAGTGGCTACCTGAGGACACCAACTTTATCACCTGCAATAACGTTGACTTAATCTATTATGAAATCTTCTATTTTTTTACTCTGAACGGGCTGAGGAATAGCGGACGTCTAAATGATAAGCTTACATTCGTATTCACAATTTTTTTTTTTTTACTGTTTCATATTTTTTTTAAATTTCTTCATGGTTGATAAGGTTTTGATATATGCTTTAATAAAAATTCTTATTTTTTAACATTTCATTGTTCAGTTGGGCATCTAGGATTACGATGACAGCTTCTCTGCATACAAGTTTTTTTTAAAGTTAACCTATTGATGATCGTCTTACTCAGTTACATTTTCTTTCCTCTGCCTGCATTGTTGCTGTTTTAGCGTAAATTTGTGAAGAAACTTGGTCGTTTTTTTGAGATTTCTTCATCTTTTTTTGAACATGATGATGTATTATAGGAGTATGGTTGCGGATCTCTTGACCAAAGAAAAGGAGGAGACAGAGAATAAGTTGGAGCCACGTCTTTTGCGTCGCCTTCAAAATCGGAAGGAGTGGGAAGCATATTGGATGGTTAGCATTAATTTTTTTCAGCCTCTCTGGCTAATTCAGTTTTATTACTGAAGGTTGTGGTCACAGGCAAATTCTAGCTTCTGTTTTGTAATCACTTGGTGATGAATATAAATAAATAAATAACTATATAGATATTATCGTTACTGTCTCCTGGTATTCCAGATCCGTGACTTGGATAGTCGAGGGACATATTTTCCTCGGATTTCTTATTATTTACATAGAGGGGTTGATATTCCAGTAACATGGTTTAGAGGTATAATCTTATTTTTTTGTCTGCAACGGGTACCAAAATCCTTTTGTGGTTTGGTTTCTGGCTTTTGCCTAGCAGCATAGTGTTCTGTTTTGAAGAACACAAAGTTCTAGTTTTTTTGCTTGTCATAGTTAGTAGTCATAATTAAACAGCAAGTTATGAATTGTCTGAACTTATTTTTGGCAAGTGATTTTGGAAGGAGATTTTTTTTTATCAGATTTTCTTCGTACTTGATTTTTCCTTTGATTCTGTTTGGACGTTTGCAGAAAATGTTGTTGAGCCTTTACATGATAAATACAAACTTCCATATTACCATCGGAAATTAAACCGTGTCCCAGACATAGATCAGTGCGGCGTCAACGATCAAGGGTGTTACTTTGAAGCCAACGAACAGTTTCGCCTTGACAAGTAACTAGATATGAGTTTGATTTTACCTTCAGTCTCACTAATGTTTTTTAAATAACCATTCGCTTTGTTTCTTTCTTTTCTTCTGAAGTTTTTTTGAAGTTCTAATAAATTATTACTTTCTCCTCTTCAACTTCTTTTTTTTTTCTTCCAGATATTGGTTGGCTGTTTTTTCTTCTTTTTTGAAATACGGGATGGCTGTAAAAATTTTTATAGAATGGTTGATTGGTTTATCCTGCAAGTTTTGAAGGAACGCCTGGAAAGATGCATTATTTATAACAAAGATAACAAGCATCCATGCGTATCGGTTAGTATTTCTTATAGCTAACCAAAGGTTATTAGTAAATGCATAATTCTTGTGAGAGTGGTTTGTGTTACAAGATAATTATGAGAGTCGGTTTTTTTCTCATCTTATTGTTTAGCAGCTCTTTTTAGATTAATAACTGGAGTTATTTTTTCAAAAGAGATCTTCCTCTACAGCGTTCATTTCTGCTCTTTAATGCTAATAAAAAAATTAGCTGGTGTTAATGTATATTGATATATTCCGAGATTAGTGTAAAGAGCCTAATGCTTTTAGCAGTTTAGTAGCTCTTCTCATACTATTTAGAAGTACCTTGATTTTAACTAAACTAATATGTTGTCTAAAGTGCTAATTAGGTCAAAACTAAAAAAAAATTTTCTTTTTTTGTTATGTCACTAATTTCCAGTTGATCGAAGATGTTGAAGAGGCTGACTTAAATTTCTTTATAAAATATGGCGAGCTTGGGTCGGAAGGTGACGTAAAAAGTGCTTATATGAAACAAAAGCATCGCATGATTTGGGAAAGGCGACATCCGGAAATAATGGCTGAACGAGAACGAGCTTATCAGGTAGAGGTCTAGCCAGGAGGTTCTATTTTTAGTTCAGAAAATTTCAAGATAATATTTCTCGAATGAAGTTTAGATCGTTCCATCGATTTTATTTTCACCAGTTTGTGACTAGTCAAAAATGAACATTTTAGGAGCATAAAAAGCGTCTGGCAGCAGGTGATTTTGATATGTCATTCTGGAAGAAAGGACTCTTCTACCAAGATAAGAAAAATTATGAGCCTCCTTACGAGTACCACCTTAGTAAAGCAACTACTGAGAATGATAAGCCTTTGTCAAAGGACTGGCAGTATTATAAGAAGGTCAAGGAAGATCCAGAGTTTGACAAAGAGCAAGGAAAAACGAGTACTCCGCGTATTTTCTTTTAGGCAATATTTTATTCAAAAATATAGGCTGCTACATTTTTTGGTTGTATTGTACAATTTTAATTCATGAGGAACAAACTACATCCGAAATTAGACTTGGTATAGTGCAAGTTATGGGTCTTGGACTTTGATAATTTTTTTTAGTTTTTGAGCACCAGTTTGGGCTTGTGACTCTTCTTTTACTTAACTGAATCAGCAAATATTTGTTTCTCATTTCAAGAGCCATGACATCGGGGTAAATATGCAATGTAGATGAATAATAAATATTATTAATTGTTTACACTCATTTTCCCAAGTTTTAACAGATAAATGTAGAAGAGCTGTTACTCATTTTTCATTTGTTCAGAAAATTTTTACATCAAGGTTTGCCGGAGCAATTTTTCAGACACTGCTTTTAAATTTTGTAGAAACTATGTCATTTAATTACTGCTCGTCTTAAATTTATTATTTGTGGAATAACTTGGGTTTTACCAGTAGCTTTTAGTTGGCTTGAATCACTGTCGTTCTGAACTTAAAATTTTTATGGTTTTTTTCGATTTTCAAATTTTTCGAGTTTTGGACGACAGGAATAAGAGGGATTTTTTAGTTTTTTGAGTTGCTGTTCATATAAGCAGAGTAGTTTTATAGCATTCTAGATGCTAATGTATTGTTTTTTCTTTTATTTTTTGCGACAGGAGTAGAAGTTTTATTCAAGTTGTAAAACTTGGACATTTTAATAGTTTATGTGTGGTTGTCGGTAGTGAAATCATTGCTTAACATGAAGTGTTATGTTTTCTCTAAATGGTATTTTCTCAAGGTGATCGCATGTATTTTACAGTTTCTAAGACGTTGAAGCTCTCATTGTGTTCCTTTTTTAGTCATAAGAGCTTGCAATTCTGTAATAGGTTCCGCGCTGTGGACTGCTCTTCGTTAATGAACACAAGTGGTGAATTTAAAATTTTTGACTTACGATTCGAAGGTGCTTCAGAGACTTTTACGTGGGAAGTCTTGCTGGCAAGAAAAAGTTATTACAGTTGGGAGGATTCTGATTCATCAAAGGTCCTTTGGGATGCTCCGGGTGGGAAGCTTCCGAACAGGCTGAGGATGAGTAGTTCTTTGCATAATTTAAGGTTTTTCTGTTATTTGAGAAGGGATATAGCTGGAAGAATGGTTGCTTTCCTTACCGGTTTATGCTCTCAGATACAGTGGATAAGCAGGAAATTTTTTGGACAGAATAAGGTTTAGATTTTTTACAGTGTAGTTGCGAGTTAAACGTAAAAAACCCTGTACTGAGAGTGCAGTGGACGGGAGTGAGTCACTTTGAACAAAGTGAGCTCAGATGATTAAAATCCTACAAATTTTTTGGGAGTCATTTTGTGTGAAGTGTGAAAATCCTGTATTTAAAACTGTAAGTTTTTCTAAAGTATTTGTGGGATTTCAAAAAGTTTTTGCTGCCGGAACTTAGTTATTTGCAACAGGAGTACCGTGGTTCTCAGCATAGTAAAGTATTGGCGCGCCTGACTAATATTTGTAGAAACCTGGGGCAAAACGGGTTGGAAATCAAGATTGTTCTCTGGCCTCTAAGAGGAGATGGTTAACGAAAAAAAAATGTAACAGATTATTGTAACAGCCTTGAGACGCCAAACAATAACCAGTCGGCTTAAAAAAGGCAAGTCGAGAAATTTTCTTTTTCTGGATGTTGTTTGGATTAACTCAAGAGATGGGACAGTGTTGAGTGCATTGGTCGATGAGCCTCTTATAAAAGGCTGGTGATGTTTTTAGTCAAGTCGTGTTATTCCAGCTGGTGAGCCTCCAGTATTTTTTAGAAAAAGACAGATCTAAATTAAATTAATGGGTTCTGTACCACTTTATGGACCATTCTAATCAAGATAGTTGTGACTGTGTTTTATTAACGGTTGGAGGAGATTCAACCAGCAAAGTGAAACAAAGCCAAAAGACTGCGATGAACATGTGGGGAACCTTTGCAGGGTAGTGACCTTCAGATACCACCGAGTTGACGGTTTCACAAACTTAGTAACCTAGACATAGAATGGTACTGGACTGTCAACTTCAAAAACTTGAGAATAGTACCTTGAATTTTTCTCAGGGAGTTGGTTTTTTATTTATCAGGTTCTTCAGCAGCTGTTTCCTGTGATATACTGTCTTTCAAATAAATATGGAAAGATACGACTGGTAGGTTGTGGGACCAGCAAGATTGCTGTTTTTCAGCTTAGGCTTACTGCTTTATTCAAAGGAACGAGCAAAAAAAAGTGTTAGGCGGCAGAAGAAAGGCATTTTTAAAGACAGAGAATGTATTTTCTGCTGCTAAAAGACATAGTTTTTGAGTAGAGTTACAAACAGTGGTAAAATTCATTACTCATCCTGACAAGTGAACAAAGCACTGAGAAAAAATCTGAGTTTTAAGTTATTGAAGTTAGTCGAGAAGAGGAAAAAATTGGTCGTGAGAGCGAGATAAGGGTCTGACAAAAAATAATTTGTTATTGTAAAAGGACTGTCTGTTTTTTTTTTCTTCAAGTATCATTTAACAATACTGATTTAAAAAATACAAAAACCAAATCACTAATTCGACGGGAGGAAAAGTGAGTTTGAGAGAAAGGAGAAAAGTATATGTTATTATTTTGTACTTTAGAAAAAGTTAAAGGATGAGTTAGAAAGACTTCGCACCTTCTTTGAACTATTGCGGAAAGGTGGATTAGTAACTGTTGAAATCTTGATTCCTGTGAGACATAAACATACAAAATTGTGATGGAAACCTCTTTCTTTAAAACTGCTGACCCAGAGATCGATCTGTTTTGTTAAGGAACTTTTCGGCCTGTACTGGAAGCGCGGTGACTAATGATTTAAGTGATTGTATGCGGAAGATTATAATCTCTGCCAAGCCGATGGAATTACTTCCATTACTTAGAAAACGAAAATAAACGGTATTGGTATTTACAGACAAGAAGAAGATCATGTTCACGAAGAAACAGCTTTTGGAAAAATACAAAAGTGGGAAGGAGTATTTTGGCAATAATGCGAGGAGAGGCAAAGTTGCAATAGAGGGTTTTGAAAGACAAAAAATCATTTTGTGTTTTGCTACAAAGAAATTCTCACAAAGCTAAGAGGTAATACGGAAATAACAGGTCTGTGTCACTGGGTGGTATTTTACCATTTGGTTAAGCATCTTCAGTTGCTTTTAAATGAATTCAGCTGGGAAAATTTGATTTGTTTATCTAACCAATTCCGGTTTAGTATTATTGTTGTCTCGTTTTTCGTTGCAGAAGCTGAGAAAGCACAAAGGATGATGATTTTTTGAAAATCTCTGCTGGAGGTAGCACATTAAACCAGTCAGGATACGAAGACTTTTCAGAAGTGGATGGTTTCAAATAGACTCCAAAGTTTAGACGGTTGTATCGGCATGGACGATGTGCGACAAAAACGATTGTTTAAAAAACTGGAGGGCTGTTTCTTTGCACGATTTTTATGTTGTTTTTATGAACTTCTTTCAATCTTTCAGGCACATCATCTTTTAAATGATGTTTCATCATTGACTGTTTAGAAGTATTCCAGTGACTGAGGGGAAAATATTTTAGTCAGGTGGCAATGTAGAAAATGGATAAAGCTAGAAAAGATGAGCTAACAGCATCACTCTTATTATGGACAAGTAAAGCGTCTATAAAGCGGATTCAGAACTGAAAGGTAGAAGGAAATTTATGCTTTAAGCGGATGCATTTAGTCATATGTACTCATCTGTACGTAACTTATATACACAAATAAAAACGCTGTCGGCTTTCACGCTAATTGTTCTAAAGGTGTCAAAAGATTTTCGTATTTTCACACATATTTTCTGTTTTACTTATATTCCACTGTATATTATTGTATGTTTATGTATATTTACACATCTGTTTATGGTTGATTGTTTAATACCAATAAAAAAATATACCGGGTTAAGGTGGCACAATTTGAACAGCTTAGGTAAAAAATGAAGTTTCAATTTACAAATTTTATAGGTACTTTTCCTCTGTTTTTGCTCTTAAATTCATTACAATAATTTTCCTGCATTACAGCATACATTGATTTCTTTTTGATGTGCAAATACAAAACTCCACGGAAGCATCTTGAACGAGGTTCTGATTATTGGTATCAGTCGAAAAAAATACGAGATCGATCGGCTGACAACAATAAAACAGCATAATTCCGTCGGGGTTTTAGGTGCAATTGTTGTAATCTTTCAATACTTTCGATAACTAATTTTTTGTTAGGTAAGAAAAATGTTACCTATATGAGAAGGAACTAAAAAAAAAGTTAGAAGAAGAGAATATGCAGTTAGTAAACCGTAAGCCTATGATAATTTTGCTGATTTGTCTATCAAAAATTTTGTTTATTGAACAGATCGATTGAGAGGTTGATTTAAAAAAAGCAAAAAGAACAACAATTTGTTACTAATCTTTGTATTAATCGACTGTTTTTATGTAATGACTGCTGTTTTTTTTTGTCTGGCAGCATTTATGACGCTCTGATAACAAGTAGTTATAGTTAATAATTAACACTAATCTTATTAATGGTCAAAGCCAAGAGAAAAAAAGAAAACTGAAGAACAGTAAACGGCGAAATTGAGTAGTAAATTTAGGAATAACAGTTGTCGATTATTGCGTTACCAAAAAAAAAGCAGAAATACCAATTATTCCGTGTATTTAGCTAAATCTACTTTATATATACATATATATATACATATGTACACTTCTGAGTAAGCATCTGAACAGACATACATCTGAGCAGATAAAGATTAAAGATCAAAAAAAAAAAAAGGAAAAGAAGCGATTCACAGATACGTCCATTTTTGTGTTGCTCATCAGGAAACGAAAAGAAAGAAAGAAAAAAGAAAAGCGAGTATACAAAGAAAGAACTTTTGCTCCTTCTCATTTATTTTGTTGAAATTTTGAAGTCTGCAAGAAAAAAGAAAAACAGGCAACTATATCACTGAGAAGCATTCAGTAACCATCACGGCGGTGGAAGGTACTGCGAGTGTCAAAATTATGTAACCTCCATTGTTTTGCTGCTCACCAAACCCACCATTAGACGTTCGCCTATCGTTTCTCCTCACTACAGTATACTTGGCGGTGTTCTCGGCAACAAATTGTCTTTGAGTATGTGAAGTATACAATCTGTAAGTATATATATATGTGCAGAATCATTTTTGCTCGTTTTAAAATACTTGCTTTATATGTATGTGTTGTTAAATGCAGAACTTTACTAAGCAATGATGAGTTGTTAAAAGGCAGAAGGTATAGGAATTGACTGAAATACCAAAGAGTAAAAAGTAAAAATGAAATAGTGTTGCAGTTTAGCCTCTTTTTTTCCTAATTGAAATAAGAGGAAAAAAATGCAAAAAAAAGAAATGGAAAGGCCCCAGAAAAAAAAAGTGGTGAACTGGACTGAAACGATTAGTGAAATATTGGAATGGTAATCGGTGTTGGTAAACATAGTGATGTGTTAACATTGCGTAATCCACTTCCAAAACGTTAAGCTTGCATACATACAGACACACACACACATACAAACAGTACAGTTTTTGGTTTCTCTTTTCGTCAATTTTAATTTTTATCTTTATATATTTATATATCTATATATAATTTTTTTTTT